TATCATCCCCGCCATCCCTGGAGGTGCCCACGCCCTAACCACAGCACCTGTTACATAGATCTGTCACGTGGCAGGAAGGAATTAAGGCTGCAGACCATCGGGCTGTGAGATGGGAAATGACCTGCATTACCCGCTTGGCCCAGAGTAATCACACATCTTCTTAGAAGTGAAAGAGCGAGGCAGGAGAGTCAGAAAGAGACGTGATGCCAGAAACAGAGGCCCGAGCGGTACTGCTGCTGCTCTGAGGGTGGAAGGGAGCCATGAGCCTAGGAAGGAGGCAGAGGCTAGAAGCTGGAAGAGGCCCGGAGCTGGCCTCCCCGGACAGCCGTCAGTGCAGTGCGGCCCTGTTGGCACCTCGTAGCCCGGTGAGACCCATTTCTCTCCGGAACTGTAAGATAATAAAACTGTGTTGTTTTAAGCCACTAAGTCAGTGGTAATTTGTTACAGCCACTGTTGGAATCTATACAACCCCTCACGTACACAGTCATTTAAGTATTCATTGTTATTTGTGACTGCTTTACAAGTGAGGAACCTGCAGCTCAGAGAAGTTAAGTAATTTGCCCCAAACCACACAGCTTGCAAATAGCCATCGGATCTTTTGATGTAAGTTACAAAACACAAACAAACAAGCTGGGTTAAGCTATAAAGGGGGTTATTGACTCACATAACTGAAAACAGTCCTAGAAAAGCTCTTGTGGAGAACAGGCAAGGCTTGGTCCACAGCTGAATGGGGACACCAAGGACCCGCCATTCCTTTCCCTCTTGCCTGTGTTTCCACAGTCTCGGTTTTATTCTCAGGTTGCACACAGTGGACCTTACAGCGCCAGGCTCACCACTGTGGTGGTAAAAATGGCTGTAGTTCCAGGCGTCACAGCCTCGCTTCCCACAACTCCCAGAGGAAAAAAGAAGGCCTCCTATTCTCAGAGGGCCCAGCTAACATCTTACAGTGATTGGTTGCTTCTAATTAAGTTATCCCCAATTCCTGAGCCAAATACTGAGTCTAGTGTTGGGTCTGTGAATGGGGAGCAGGGAACAGTTGAATTGCCGGAAAGAAAATCCAAGTTGTTTGGGCAGGAGAAACAGAAAGTGGACATGACATGTCCCAGTGCTGTCTGGGAAGATCCTGACGGCAAGCTTCTGAGTTTGAACACGCCCATCTCCTGGCAAGATCCTTTGCTGATTCTTTGGACACATGGTCGCCATCTTTTTACGTCTCAGCACCCCCCACCTCCCACTCCCCAACTAAGGGACAAGGCTAGACTCACCCTGGTCTCCTCTGTGTCCCCAGCCCCTAGCGCAGGGCTTGGCTGAGATCAGCCATCAGAGAAGTGAGGTTAGGACTTCAACATGTGAATTGGAGGGAGCCTGGGGGAAGACACAGTTTAATTCCTAACAGTTCTTTGGAAAGTTGTGTTCCTATGTCATTTTATTGATGGCAATTCTTTTTCCCTTAGGAAAGGAAATATGGGTCTGTTTCTCTTCTATCATCTCACAGTTCCAAGGATTGTGTTCTGAACTGCAAATCTGCACTGACCTTAACCACCTCCTGGCAACAGACTGGGGTTTCAGTGAGTTTCTAAAAACTTGTATAGTCTATTCTTATCAGCGAAAAGGAAAGACTCTTACCTGCATTCCACTTGACCAGGTGGGCAGAACACACGGTTACCTGCTTGGAGCGCACAATGGTTCCCTTTGACTTCCTGTGCCCAGGGCTGGCAGCCAACAGCTCTCACTTCACCTACTCCAGTGGCTTCTGAGCAGTGGCAGGTCTTCTTGTTTATCATGGCTTTGATTTTTAAAGATACGGCATTTCTTTGGGAACTATCAATAACCAAATAGGCCTGCTTTGTGTCTAATTAAAACTAGGCTGGAAGGACATGGCAGCACTCGGGGCTTAGCTGTTGAGAGGTCATACTGAGGTTTAGAAAGGCGTGGGCACCTCCACCCCTCGTGACAGCTGAGACCACGTCCAACCACACAGCTGTGGATGGGTAAAAACGTGGGTTCTAGAGTGCCACAGACTTGGCTTGAAACCCCTCTCTGAGTTTAGATTAAGAGATAGCTCAGTTACCATAAAGGTAACTACATAAAATCTGGTGTCTCCTGACATGGTGCTGTAAAAATGACACGTCGATTATGCAGCATTCCTGCCAAGAGTGCACAGTCTAACTGTAGTCATGACGACACAGTTAGGCCAGCCCAAATTAATGGACATGATGCAGACCAGCGGGCCAGTACTCTTCAAAAACGCCCATGTCGTGAAAAAAAACGAAGGGCAGTGACTTGTTCCAGTTAATAGGAGACGTGACAACTAATGCAGATCCTGTCTTATCCTGGATCAGATTTGGATCAGATGCTTGATCCTGGATCAGATTCTGGACTGGGGAAAAAGGTTTCTAGAAAGGACAATATTGGGACAATTGACAAAAATTGAATATGGATCGTAAGTTAGATAATAGTGCTATAGCAAAGTTAGATTTCCTGAATTTGATCATCGCACTGTGATGATGTAAGAGATTTTCCTGTTCTGAGGAGATGCATGATCATGAATTTAGGGCTGAAGGGTCATAATCTCCGTAATTGATGCTTAAGTGGTTCAAGAAGAAAATTAGAATAAGAAATAACGAGGATTGGTGACTATACTTAACGATACTAGGGGCCAGCTGAGTGGCTCAGTTGGTTAAGAGCTCGCTCAAGAGTGTGAGCGCTAACCAACAGGGTCGCTGGTTCAAGTCCCGGCCCAAGCTGAGCTGCCAACAGGTGATAGGATGGCTCAGCTAAAATAAAAAACAAAAAACAAAAAAACAATACTGTATTGATACTTCAAAGTTGCTGAGAGTCAATCTTAGAAGTTCTCTCCACATACACGAAAAGGTAACTGTGAATAGATGTGTTAACTAATTTTATCGTAACCATTTCACAATGTTTATCAAATCATCACGTTGTCCACCTTAAACATACACAATGTTATATGTCAATTATATCTCAATTAAGCTGAAAAATAAGTGCAAAAATTAGGATCTATTACATAATAGGTAAATCTGTAGAGATAAAGCGAATGTGGCAAAATGTTAACCCTAAATAAATCTAGGTGAAATATATGACAGTTTATTGTAATTTTCTCACAATTTTTCTGAATCCTTGAACTCTTTAAATTTTTTTAATTAAAAATATTTAATTAAAAAAGAAAGGATGAACCTGCCTTGACATTGCCCAGAACACTGATGTAGGGGGTGCTGAAGTGTCACTGGAGTGCTAAAACTCCCACCAGACATGCAACTCGAAAACAAAATGTTGTGAAAACCTCCCTTTGGAGAATACCACAGTGGTTGGAAAGAAGTCCTGAGACAGACCACTTATGATAGGGAGACGAAGTTCTCAAGGGCAAACTGAAGCATCAATAGACAGTTCTGTCACTTTTTGGCCTCTCAGAGAAGATCTTCCTTCTCTGCCCTTCCCCTGTGAAGAAGTTCTGTCTCTCTTCTCAAAAAACCTAAATATATATATTTAAAACAAAATTTTTTTTTTAGTTTTTCAGTTACAGTTCACATACAATATTGTATTAGTTTCATGTGTACAATAATGATTAGACATTTATAAACCTTACAAACTGATCACCCAGTTAAATCTAGGAATACCTATTTTTTAAATGTTGAAAAGAGAACCAAATTATTAGCCCTTCTTTTTAATCTGGTACTGCCAGCTGTACAATCTTGAACAAATCACTTCATCCATGCAACAAACGTTTATTTAGTATCTACTCTGTGCCAGGTTCTGTTTCAGATACTGGGGACATAGCAAGGAGTAACACACATGGTACATACCCTCATGGAGTTTACAGTCTAGCGACATGTGACAGACATTGGGGGTTGGCAACCTTTCTTAATTTTGTCCGAAAAGCAATGTGTGAGGGCAAGAAAGTAATGCACGCTACAGGCTGGGAGTAAATATTTGCAAAGCACATATCTGACCGATTCTAGGGTCCAGTTTGGGAAATTTTGAATCTGAGGTGGCCGTGGGATGTGAAGGTGTCCACTAGGTTTAAATACCTCTGGGTTTAGGAGATGGGTCTGGGTTACAGGTGGACTGGGAAGCATCAGCATATAACTGATAACTGAAGCCAAAGGAAGAGGGTGAGACAGGCCAGGGAAAATGGAAAGGAGGTGTGGGGTATACACCTCCCAGAGCTGGGGGGGTATAGTCAATGCCCAACGCATCTGAGCTGGGCAGAGGAAGAGGCCTGCAGAGCGGACTGAGTGGAGCGCCCTTAGGGGCAGGTAGGGGAAAAAAAAAAAGTGGAGTCTGAGGTCCCAAAAAAATACTTAAGACAAATCACTCTGATTTAAGAGTACCTCTCAACAAGGGGGGAGCGCAAGGACTGAGAAGCGTGGAGTTACGGCAGACCTTGAGCACAGGTATTTCGGTAGGTGGAAGGCGGACTGGACGGGATAAGGAGTGGGAGGGAAAGGGCGAGCACAGCAGCTGTCTCTGCAAAGCTGGCTGCCCGCCGGAGATAAGGAGGTGGGGACGCAGGGGCGAGCGCACTGGAGCGATGGAGACGGAAGCGTGATGACCCCCAAGCGGGAAGGAGCAACAAAGGGGAGGCCAGGAGCGCAAGGACGCCGCGTTCCGTCCAGGTGCTGGAGCGCCCCCTGCGCGCCCGCCAACCGGCCACCCTGCCAGAGCACGCGCGTGGAGGCCACGCAGCACACGGGAGCCGAGGGTCACCACCAGGGTGCGCGGTCCTCATGCCGCTCTTCCGAGGAACGTCCCCGCCCCACGCACCCTGCTCGACCTCAGAGCCACAGCTGGACACCCGAGGCCACGCTAAGTAACGGGCTGGGAACGCCCACGACGCGGCCTCCCAGGATCTCGACCGCGCGAGGACGCGCCCTCCGGCTAGCCCCGCCCTCCGGCTAGCCCCGCCCTTGCTCTTTCTTTGTTTCGCGCCCGGAGGTCTCGCGAGAGCTGGGCGGCAAATCTCGCGAGCGCGGGCCCGGGCCGGCTCCGCGGCTCTCGCGGTGTTTGCGTGAGACTGCGCTCTTCCTTCCTCCCCGGCCGGCCGGCCGCCTTCATTCCGTTCCCCGCCCGGCCTCCCCTCGTTCCCCGCGGGCCCCTCCTCGCGGGCTAATATGGTCTCCAGCGATGGACGCCCCAAGTGCAGGTCAGTTTCCGTCCGCCGCCTGCGGCCTGGAGGCTGCCGCCGCCGCGCGCTGTCCGGCGCCGCGTCCCTGCCGCTCTCGCCTGGAGTCGCTCGGCCGGCCCCCGGGCCGCGGGCTCGGGTCGCTTCCCGGGGCCTCCGCGCCCGGGCCGCGAGAGCCGCCGGCGTGACCCCCGGGGCCGCCCGCCCGCCTCCGCTCCTTCGCGGCCCTGCGGCGGGGGTGGCCCACCTCCCCGCCCCCAGTCACAGGGTAGGGTGGGGGCCGGGGTCTCCGCAGCCCTGCGGTTCCGCTGTCCGGCCTCGAGCCGCTCGCTCCCCCGCTCGCTTGGCTTCTGCCAGCGGCCAAGGCCGAGCGCTGCTCCGCCGGGTCTCGGACCCCGTACTGCGGCGCGGGGCCGCCTCCCTCTGCCCGCCGCGCGCCCCTCTCCACAAAGAAGAGAGGAAACGCTGCAGCTCCTGGAAGCGGGCCGTGGCGACCGCTCCTCGCCTCGGGCCTGGGGCCTGGCCGTGTGGAGGGTCCTGCGCCCCCGCCGCGATGAGTCTGCACAAAAGATGGGCAGGGCTTTTCCCGCAGCGCTGCCTCCCCGCCGCTCCCCGAGACCCGCAGGAGCCGGGGCACGTTCCCGGGAGACCCCTCTGCCTCGACTTTGTAGTTGAGCTTCAATTCCTGCAAAACCAGACGTGTCTTTTAGGGAGAATCTGCTCATTGACCCAAACCTGTTACGGTGTTTTTTTTGTTTGTTTTTTTGTTTGGTTTGGTTGGTTGGTTTTGATTTTGTCTATGGGGTTGAATGCTCTGTCAAAATCTTGTCTTTTTGATTCTTTTTTTTTTTAAAGTCCCTGTAATATAACTGTGGCGTTCTCAAATTGTTCTGTTTGTACTTACGAAAAATAACCAGGACGTGTCTGCCCCAAACATGCCTATACAACATTTCTGTCATGCTTATTGTCCTTTTCCAGGTATTGTTTATCACATACGGGAGTTAATCATGTTACCAGTTTTTACTTGATAAAAGTCATGGTTTTAGAGCCGTACTGTCCAATCCAGTGGACAACTAGCCACATGTGGCTATTTAAATTAAAATTATTTAAGATTAAATAAAATTAAAAATTAAGTTCCTCAGCCGCTGTAGCCACATTTCACATGCTCAGTAGTCACGTGTGGCTAATGGCTAACTTATTGGACAGTGTAAATAGAGAATATTTCCACCATTGCAGGAAATTCTGTTGGACAAAGCTGACTTCCAGGTATTTTTACTTTGAATAAGATACTTTGTAACTGTTAAATGAAAGTATTTTCTTTTTTCCCCAGGAGACACCTTTGAGTACCTTATTGAAACATTAAATGACAGTTCACATAAGAAGTTCTTCAATCTACCTAAGCTTGGAGGCACCAAGTATGGTAATGTTGCTTAAATTTTCTTGTTTTTTTCTTAGTTTCTGATAGTAAAAATGCATTGGTGAAACTGAGCAGAAGAAATTTTAAATCTGTTCTCACCATGTTGTAACAGGTACACCTACACATATCTCTCACATTTTTAAAACTCTGTTTGGGACAACTTGTGTTTGAGAAAGATGTAAGCCCATACCTTAACTTCTCATTTAAAAATCTTAATTAAGCAATGATTTTTCCCCCCCAAAGAAACTACTGCAATTAAAACACAAAAACACAGCCTGATGATATTCTACAGCTATTAAATGTACCTTTTAATTTTTCAAGTGGACAGTTCCCACATTTCTTTAGAATTGCCGTCCTTTGAACAGGAATCACCGAAAACCCTCTGATTTGATTTATTCTCCAGCACTGGGCATGGTACTGGGGTAATTTAGTTAAGAAGTTCGCTCGAGCCTGTACACCAACACTGTGGCAGACCTTTGCAGCACCTGACCAGGGTCATACCTTTCACTGAGGTCTCAGAAGAGTGAACTTGGCTGAACCCCAGGGTATTGGATGGAAGTCTTCACTTTATTGACAACGTTGAGTGACTTTCTCACACAGGCCAGTGAAGGGAAGACCTGTTTGGAAGAGTGATTATTTTCAGACTTTTTAGTAAAGACTACTTGAAAAGATAAATGACAAATATATTGGAGTCAGTTTTGGAGGGAGCTTTTCTTTATCTTGGTGTTTTTCCCCTTCTTGCTTTATTTAATTTAATTAAGAAGATTGCTTTTGTGATTTTCTTGTAGATTTTGATGGACTTGAATATTTAGGACAGCCACTAGTAGTATTTTCTCATACATGGGAGAAGAGTGAGATATTTTGGAGTATCTCAGATGATCCCCATCTTAGAATCACATTGCCATTTAAAAACACACAGCTCCCCAAATGAAAGCAGTTTCTTTCACCTGCCTGTCGATGTGCAGCGATTTGCATTAGTGCCCATGCCCTCCTCCACATTTATTTTATCTCTTCACTGATGATCATTTTCTATGAACTTTAAAAGGAGAAAAGCTAAATTGATATTATACAAGAAAGGGTTTTTATTTCCCCTTGCTTCTCCCAAATATTCAGTGACTCTGACCTGGAACTTCCTTGACCCACATTCCATAGCTTAATAAAAGAGCCTCTGTAAGGATGTTTAAGTTGAGTATGCAAGTTCTTTTTTTTAAGATTTTTTTTTTTTAATTGGGAAATTGGGGGGATGGGAACAGAGCTGGGGAATTGGGGGAAGGGGAACAGACAAGTTGCTGTCGTTTTGTTCTTCAGTCTAGTTGTGGAGGACGTTGCTTCACTGGCCCAAGTTGGCACCATCATTGTGCTCTTCCCGGGTGAGGCAGATCAGTCGCCGGCTTCTGGACTGCCGCTCATTGCGGCTGCTGGCCGCTCACGCTGGCTGCTGGCTACACACGGTAGCCCATGGCAACCCACTGCCAACAGGGGCTGCAGCTTAAGCCGTCGCCGCCGGCGACTCATGGCAGCCCAGCTCCAGGTTGAGCTGTTGTTCAGCATCTTAGCTGTAGAGGGCAGTGTCACTGGTCCTCATATGTGGGATCCGAACTGGGGCCCTCTGGCATCCCAAGCCAGTTCTTAACCATCGCGCCACTCGGCCAACCCATGCAAGTTCTTTCTGTGGGCAATTTGTGGAAATGTGCCTGCTTGAAGGTGGTTTCCCAGATGGAGGAAATCAGTTGGAAACTATCTAAACAACTGAGGAGTGCGTTGAAAGAGGATGATTAATAAGGTAAAAGCTAAATTATCTCTGGCAAATAATCTGTCACGCGCATCTGTACATGAGTGCCTCCCAGGGTACCAGGTTTTTATAGCCCTGATGTGTACAGTGATGAGCACTTGTAAATATCAGAGCCTTCGGAACAGAAATTTGGTTTTGATTTCTGTGGGGTTAAAACCCTGGTTGTTACCACCATCACCCTATTTATAAATAAAGCTGCTGTGTATGTAATATTTAAAATTTGATGCAGGCTTCTCATTACATAGAATTTCTGGATTGAAAGTGTGCTGTGCCCTCCACCCTTACCAGACCCTTTTCTTCTTATACTCTGACTGTATTCTCTCTGTTCCAGTCTTTATTCTTAAGAATAAGGAACAAAGACTCACTTAGCTCAGCACTTAAATAGAGAAGATGTTCCAGTTTCCAGACATTTAAAGACAAAGTAGGAAAGCACAGTCAGGCCTCGCGAGAACCAGCATTGCTCAGCCAAACGCTGTCCTGTGTGTCACTTGAAGGCTGCCTGGTCTCTTTACCCCTGTTTCTTTTTGAATGTCTACTCTCCAGTCTCCTGTCTACAGCCCATTTTTCTTACTCATTTTGGGCAGTGCCCAGTGTAGGCTTGCAGGCCATCTTGTTGTGTTACGATTGGCTCACCAGCCAGTTCAGACTGTACCTTTAGATTACTTTCACCTACTGGATGAACCTATTTTGCTGGGCTTGTCAGGTGCCTGTTGCTGGTCTAGTTACCTTGCTGGAACAGGGACAAGAGTCCCAGTTTTCTAATCTTGTCTTTTTCTTGGACTCTGGAAAGGACTGTGAGCTGGGAAGCAGTGAAGCAGTAAGCTTGTGATGTTTGCACACAAGACGTCACTTTATAAGGATTACCTTTCCTGACACTGTCCATTCACCACTTCTCCACATTTGGTCCAAGGGTCTGTTGGTTTTAACTCTGCTTCTGTTGACAAATCCTGTTCTACGTTAGGCCTTTCTGGTAGCAAAGAGCAGACACCCACTAGCTCACGTGAAGAAAGATTTGTTGTTTGACAAAGCTCCCAGGCCAATGAAATGTGGCTGGATCTTAAGAAATTGGGCAGTGGACCTGAGAGGAAGCTCTTTATTTTTTCTCACTGGGCTTCAGATTTCTGCCCCCCTCCTCTGTTCCGCTCCCTCTGCTTCGCTGCAGACAAGCCGCCTCTGCCTGCCCAGTTTATATACATGGCAGCCTCAGCCCCTGGCTTAGCCTTAACACCCTTCTGCTTCAGTTTGTGTCCTGAGTGCAGATTCCTGAGTGATGAAGCTCATTGTCCCAGGGTATTTTTTCTCCCCAGGCCGTTGGTCATTGACCTGCCAGGGGACTGAGTGGCTCTTGCTTCAGCGGTGCAGCCAGGGAGGTAATGGATACCTAGGACTGTGCATGCCATGGCAGCAGATAGCACCAGGCTCCATGCTTACCAGGAGTGAAAGAGAAGAGGGTTTCTGTGCCTTCATTGACGACAGATACTCTTCTCCTTCTCTGCTCTGTTTGTCAGTGAGTGGAAAAAAAAATCTTAGCAGGAATCTCTTCTCCTTTTCTGCCTTCTTAGACTCTCTGTGGCATTTTAAAAAGCAGAGGTCAGCCTTCCTAACTGGAAATCAGTCCGTCCATCCTGGTGCTGGTTGGAGACAGAAGCAGTCAAGTCCGGTGGGTTACAGGGCTTTCTAGGATGGTTTCTTGTCCTTTCTCCAGGCTCCTGGCCTTGAGCAGGGCTCTTGGGTTTACACGGTAGCTGCTCCAGCTGGGGCTGACCCAGTACCCTCCCATCTCTGAGTTTGGACTGGGAAGAAGCCCTGGGGCTTTAGGCTGGTCTGCAGAGTGCCCGCTCCTCAGCCTAGTGTGTTGTCTGACTGACTTATCTAAAGCCAGTTGTTAATGTCGATTTCTCCTGTGGGCCATTTCTTCATGACTCTTTAAACCTGGAATTTCCACTTTTTATCAATGACAAGACCTTTGTACATTATCTGTTTGTCTTCACTGCATTGCTTTGTGATGGGCAGGGAGATAGTCTTACCTGCACTTTATAGAGATGAGGAAAATGAGTGTAAGAATCTAAGTAATTTGCCAAAAGTCCCATGTCTTATAAGTGAGGAATTTGGTCTGAGACTCATATCTTCTGATTTCAGACCAGTACTTTTGCCCCCTTAATACCATTCTGTTTCCCAGCTTAACAATAGCAGTAATAAAATGCTAGTATTTATTGAGTACCTGCTATATCCATTCTGTAAGATAAGCTCTGTTGTCATCCACCTGGTCAAGGTCCCACTACCAAGTACCATTGCCTGCTGAGTGGTAGAGGAGAAATGTGCGGTTCTGAAGCCTCTGCTTGTAAATCCTGCAACACAGGGGGCTGCCAGCCCGTGTGGACAAGGACCGTACGGGCAGCACAGACAAGGGAAGTGGCCCCGGTTGGAATTGTGGCAAAATGAAAGGGCAGGTGGTGCTCAGTTCCAGCACAAATGTGGGCTTGGTGCCGTAAAATTCTCTGATGTTTATCTTAAGCCAGAAATTTGGATTTTCATGTGAAAATTTTCTGGTTTTTCGATGTTGGCACTTAAAATGTTAAAACTCTGCAGAACAAACAACACATCAGCAGGCCGACAGTTTGTGACCCGTGCGCTCTCAGTGCCGTGCTGCCTCGTCTTGGTGGCAGCCTCAGGGCCTCCAGTTTGGGGGGCTGGGCCTGCCTCTCACCGGTTCCCCCGTGTGAAGTAGCCACCTCAGCGTCTTTTTCCAGAGCCCGAACCACCTGTTGGATCTTCCACTGAACAATTGACCGAGAGATTATCTATTGTTATCGGCTCATTTCAGAAGTGTGATAACACAAATGGCCATACTTTTCCAGCTTTAGGTTACCAGCTTGTCCTGGTTCCCACATGTCCTTTTGATTACCTGTCCTTAGAAGATTAGCTTTCCGGATTCATAGAATTCTAGACATTCCTGGTTACAAGAGGCGGAATGAATCCCGTCCAGTGTCCAGTTTCCTGCTTGGTGCATATGAATCTCTCAACAAGACACATTCAGTTAACATCTATTGAGTGAGTACTCACCTGTTTCTGACAAATGAAAGATGGCTAAGCCAGCATGGTGGTGCTAAAGAAAGCATCGCATTTAGCAATGGGGACATAAACGGAGACTATGTAAGGACAGTGCTTCAGTGTGTTGTAGCCGTCTCAATTCAGTCAGAAGGTAGAACAG